TATTAGCACAAAGCCAGAGAGGAGGCAAAGGGGGAAAAATAGCCTGGACCACTATATTGGCCGGCCCACAGTCAGTAAATTGACAGTTACTGTGTGCCCTTGCATTGCATGTCTGCAGTCCTTGAAAGTTTTTTTCTTATTTTGCTGAATTTGTTGTTGCGAGCAGTGGCATTAGCAAGTAAACAGAAGTAGGTGGAACAATGTACGGCATCATTAAGAAATTAGTGGGTGGGGGCTGCGAATGCTGAAGGCATAAGCCTGTTATGTGGTTTGGAGGAACATTATCACCCTGCGGGAAATTTTGAAATCTGAAGCTTCTCAAAGCCCTGAAATGGAACCAAACTTGCTAGCTGAAAGAAAAGGGTTGGTAAAAATCATTGTCAAAAAAATTATTATGTGCTTTACGTCTTGTTGATTAACCCATTAGAGTGCAAGACTCTTTCGTTCACGAGCTGAAGTAAAATCGCCGTCTGGCGTACGTTAGACAGAGTAAAAGAATAAAATAGGTCGTATATGGGCGCATCGGCATTGCTGCTTAATGGGTTAAAGTTGTGACAAGAAGTGCACAGACTTAATGCCCTATGCATGAGCAAGATGGCTAAGCATTCCCCAATAGACAAGCAACTTACCCTTCACAAACGTTAAGTCTAAGAAGCGTGATATGATTGTTGATATAGGGTAATCCTTCACTATGCCAATGTACTTTTATTTATTAGTGCGCATGCAGTTTTGTGGATGAGAAGAAGCAGCTACAATTTTGGTAATAAAAGCTGTTTTTTTAAGTGAAAGAATATGTAACAATGTAATACGATTGTTGTTTATTATCTGGCAGGAATTATTGGTTACATGTATCACAAAACATGTGCTCTTCCGATCTATTCAAAAGCAGAATAGCCAAAGCGAGGTCATAATATTCATACCACAATAACTTAATTATCTGATGGCAATCATAGATGGATTTTTTTCTTGGGTGCCGGAGGCGCACAACCCCCTGCAAAAAAACTTGCAACACCTCTTTTAAATGCTCGTTCCATTAAATGACAGCAGTATGATTGAACAAACATTTTGAAATAAATAACAAAGATGTTGAACTTAACCAACCCTGTCTCCGCTGGCAACTGTACCCCCAGACTGCTGCTGCAGTTTGCTAGATGGCGCTTCGTGCCCCCTCATTTACAGTACCTCCCCCTGAACTTTTCGAGACCCCCAGAGAAAAATCTGAAAATCCATATATGATGATAACATATATGAGTATAAAGCTATATTAAGTAAAAAGAACACACATGCTCCAATAAATCATGTACACTTAATTATGAACAATGCATTTTAGTTTTAATTTAAGATTATTCACTGTTAATAATTCCAGCCAAGAAGTCCAATTTCAAACAATTTAAGAAGTCTATTTTAATTTTACAAGATTTTAAAATTATTCCATTTTTTGTATCGTCAATTTCCATATATCTTGCTTGGTACTTTATTTTGCCACCAAAATCAGGATTAATTTTTTAACCTATTGAATGCAATGCACCCTGATGTGCCTTATTTTACTCAGTTTGATCTTTTTAGTCAAGGGGAGAGTGCTGTCATTCAATTGGTTAATCAAACTGTCTGCATGCGCATCCTGTTATAATGAAAGTGCAAATTGATATATACCAATTTAAGCATAACTGTGTCACATAGTTTGATGCGCGCGCAGAATTCAGCTCTTAGTATTCGAATTCAGGTCGACGGAAAATTCAAACCAATCCAACACAGTTAAACGGCTATTGTCGAATTCGAGTTCACTGCTGTTCCTGCCATCTTTTCGAGGCTGTCCAAGTCAATGAAAACCCTACTTCCTTTCCAAGAGCTTTGAGAACCCTAAAAGTAATGGCAACAGTCGCTTTCATCGACCGATTGGTGTAAAAGAAATGGTGGTACCGGTCTTACGTATTGTTTTCCTGGTAGTTTTATCATCAAGAAAAGAAATCCGTAAAGTAGTTGTATTCTGTGCTTTTAATGCTAGTTGATAATTTGTTGGTGTAGGATTTGGGAGCTTTGGAACAATTATGGCAGCTGGTTACGTTCATGCAGGTTTTACGCCCTCCCGGAAAATGCAAAGAACATACTTTATTGCTAGCTGTTGTTGGAGAGAAATCTTTGCAGGGAATTAAATTTATCCACTTCTAGGTTTACGGAGTTCTTTTTATTCCACCATTTTGTCATTTGCAAGATTATAAAAGCAAAGCTCGGGATTTCTGTTATTACACATGCACGCCGCCACTTCTTTTACTCGTGCTGATCAGTGAGAGCGGACTGCTGTCGTTGGTTTCAAGACTCACAAACTTCTGAAGACCCGTGCAAAAGTTTTGAAAAGAACTTAGGTCTTCATTGGCTTCTACAGCCTCCAAAAGGTGATAAAGAACAGCAGCACACTCGCGTTTGACAATAACGTTGTGATGTCATTATGCAATCAATTAACGCTTCAATTGGTCACGTCATTATGCAATTATTCGACTATTTACACACTCGGGGAAAGGAGAACGCATTAGCTATTCAATAATCGAAAGCGTTGGGTGTCATGGGTGGTTATCTCAATGATCCGTAGATGTTATTTTTTAACTAGAAATACATGCATGCAACAACCCCTCGCCTATATTTTCCAAACGTTTTTTCAACACGAAGTATTCGTAATTACGCCAGCATTGAACGCAGGCTCGCGTTGCTCACGTCATGTTGGTCATGGCAACACGATAATTGTTTTTTAAATTTCTTTTACAAACCATCAAAACTAAATAGATAAAACCTGAACACTTTTGAAAACAGAACTATCAATTTATAAAATGTTTAGGAACGAACTTTCCCCAAGCCTCATGTTAATAGTATATTTTGTGTTCAGTGTATACACCACAGTGAGACGTTTTTAAATGTGTTTAATTTATTACATTAACAAACGACGTTTCGGAGATTTACTCCATCTTGAGGTAGTTAAGATTACAATTTGAATTTAAACTAACATGCACATGCATAAACGTTAAAGCTTGCGACCGAGCGTTATTCGGGCGTGCGAAATTGCGTAAGCGCATAAATGACGTTTCCATTAATTCTAATTTTTATTAGTTTCGACGTGTCCTTGCCAATGCAACATTTGACGCACTAATAAGGGAGCCTGCGTTTAGTGTTGGCCAATTACTAATGCTACATGTTCAGTCAATGTTTGGACAATATAGGCGAGAGGTTGTTGCCTGCAAGTATTTTGGAACAGTAAAAAACTGGAAAAAAAACTTTACGAAAATTCATGTTTTCAGCGTTCGAGGAATAAAGTGGTTTGTTCAAGCAATGCACTTTTTAATACCATGGACTGGTGGGCATTTTCCCCACTGGGCCCCTTCCTCTGCCCCACCACGGAAAAAAGGCCTAATGCCCCAAAGCCAGGGCCCAAGGACATGTACCGAGTAAATGAGTTTAACATTGAAAGGAAGTTTAAAATTATAATTTTTATTGTTTTATGCTCATAGTGTGAAATGTTACTAAAATCATAAAATCAAGTAAATTGTGATGTACAGCAACGTACAACGTACAGTCGTCAGAGTATAAGGGCCTTTCACAGTCACCTTGGTTGGCATATTTATATTTATGTTGTGTTTGAATGTTTATCATGTTTAAAACTTTGCTTTGAGAAGCCAAGATTTTTTTAAAAATGCAGGAAATGCTATTTCAGGATCCCAAATTTTAAAAATTTCCTTGGAGGGCATGCCCCCAGACCCCCCCCCAAGCTAACTCGTGCTTGAGGAACTCTGGGAGAGGACAAGGAAAATGGGCCCTTGGCAGATTTGCCCCACCAGTGAAGAATCCTTAAAATACAATGAGTTCAAGAAATGCGACCGCAATATTTCAGTTAGCGACAATAAAGCTCCCAGCTGTTTCGTTTGATATATATAAGCATCCTGGAAGTTACGTATGAGTTAAGATCTGGTAGACACCGACAACTGAGTTGAAGGTCGTGCTCCTATCTTTCGCCAATCAAAAAAGTAAAGCAAAAAAACATGGCGAATTTCACCTCTGGTTACGTCATAACTATGTAATGAATATACGAACAGCACGATCAATCAGCACTTGTTTCCATTTACCAAACTGACGCGACGTCATTCTCGGAAGATGGAAGATGGAAGAGGGTTATTTGTTTAACTATGGTTAACTAGAAGTTCTATACCTAAACCAATGGTTATCGACCACCGCTCTGAAAAAAATGCCACAAGAGCTAAGAATGTCTATATGTCTCAGCGATGTCTAAATATTGACTTATAAATTATAAATTAAAATTATCTAGAGGGCCGTAGTAGCCAGTGAGAACAATGGCCAAATTACCCAGGGCAAATTTATTAATAGAGTGATGACAAATATGCCCAGCACGCACACACAACCATGCCAAATCTGAGGAAACTGCAAAATGTTGAAGAATCTTTGCATGAAGATTTAATGTGAGTGGCTTCTATTCTTTATTTAACGATGTATTAATAATAATAGAAACAGAATGAAATGCCCAGAATGAGACTAATTAATGCCCAGTTGGTAAACAAGTAGCCTATCTGGGGAATATTTGTAAGTTAACTATTCCTGGCCCCTGGATGGGCCAAAAATGACTTGTTTGCAAATGCCTGGGGGGTGCAATAAGTACAGATCGAGTTGACTCCTGCATTACTTAATAATATGTGCCCTTGCTTGTTGATGACTGGGCAGACTGGAAAAAATGGGTCATTCCGGAAAACATATGTACCAACACCACTGAGGAAATTGGATGTTAAGCTCCCACGCCGGCGAGGT